TCTTGGGATATCCTTGGTATTTATGCTTAATTCATCGATCGGCCATTTAACTTGCTTTCATTGTTGTACTATTTAGAAGACAGCCTGTGCAAGTGCCGCGAGGCATTCACAGCGGACTCAGGTGCTTTGCTTATGTAAGCCTAGCGTAACCTTCAAGGAAGTGCATGCTTAGAGGTACAGCATTATAATTTGATTTTCAGATGGATACACGGCAGATCAGGTCCGATATAAGTGGTCCAACGGATCCAAGGAAGCCTTGAAGTTGCACAAAATAAGGCTACCGGATTTTCAAATCAAAGAAGCTTATGTAACCAGTCAAATTGAATCGTACGCTACAGGTGACAAGTTCAGACGATCAAGCTTCAAGATAATTCCATGCTTCGTAGCTGGCCTATTCATTTTATTTCCTAAGTTGTTGCTTTACAGGTCTAAGTTCCAGATGCTGTGAATTTTTCATGCGTTTCTGTTAAAAACAAAAAGCTTCATCACGAGAACGTGTCTGTTTGTTGTGAGTATATGTCTGTGTTTTTCGTGTTGGTGTGTGTGTATTAGATTAAAAACTGCTTCAACTGGGCAGCCGCAATTTCGGCAGCGAAATTTGCATGTGATACTGAAATAAACGGCTTGAAAGAAGCTTTTGGTATTATTAAGTATTGTTCCATAAGCTTGAGTTCGGATTTAAGATAAAGCAAAAATTTTCAAATGTGACACATTGCAGATCAAAAATCTTGAGAGCTTAGTTCCTCGCGGTGGTGCATGCTCAAGGCCTTGAAATCAGCATCTCCAACACAGCGCTTTCTCAACTATGAACCAAGGCTGGGATGCACAGTGCGGGATGAAAGAGGGTGACAAAAAATGCGAACACACAGAAACACACACACAGACACACACACAAACACACACAGCCCCTTCCCAATATGCGCTTTTGCAATTTACAGGGTTAGTTAAAGCCATGTGAAGTACTGAGTTCACTTATCATGGAAAATTCACGCATATTTTCTGGCTTCTTTAAAAATGCATAAAAACTCATCAAATTCAAGCTGAACTTCACAGTACGCTAAAGCAGCAAATTATGAAACATTGATTGCCGGTGCGATCACGCGTTTGTGCATGTTTCCAAACCTATAGAGAGGTCTTCTGTAACGCTGGAGCATGACGAATTTTCTTTATGTGTTCTGGTTAAATCAGAGATGTAGAAAAACATAAAAACGCTTGACTGTGCTAAGCCTTTGAGCTACAGGGTTAGTTAAAGCCATGTGAAGTACTAACCTCACTTATCATGGACAATCCATGCATATTTTCTGGCTCCTTTTTTATCGTTTGGGTGCTTTTTTGATTAGTTATTTTTCAGGCAACTACAGTCGGTTGTACGTATGTTTTGTGTTCACTCGAGCAGCAGGATTTTGCTTTCTGCAGCTGATAATTCCATCGACAGCAGTTGTTATCACATCATGGGTTTCACTGTGGATGGAAAATGAAACTTCGTTTCAGGCTAGTCGCTTCGTTTTTGGATTTCTCTGTGAAGTTCCGGCGATTATTTTTTGTGTTTCAGGATATGATATCTATTATTCTAACAATTACATTTTTGTTGTTTTCCTACAATGAGGTAATGCCGCGTGTCAGCTACATCAAAGCAATGGATGTTTATCTTGGTTAGTTTTGTGCTGCTTTTTTTTTAATACAACTTATTTCAGCACTTCATGCACCAAGCAGTTTTTAACAAACTCCCAGCAAAGGGATTCTTTCAAATCTTTATTATAAGCTGCCTCGCAAGCTAAATAAAATCACGGTTTTTTTTTAAATGTGCGTTTTGAAAAATACTATTTTTTTGGCAGTAATAATAATCAATTTTTTATACTAATAATCAACTTTTTTGCTGTTTATTGGTTTTTCTTTTTTCTGTGTTCCTCCTTGCTTCTATTTTCCTTGTCTTGCTTATTCAAATCCGCCTTTTTCTTAAATGGCTAGTAGGAGGTTGTATTGGCGATTCCCAGTCGTACTCGCACCCGATGTGTTTACAACGAAGGGATGAAACACAGTCTGCAAATTTACCTGATCCATTGGAACATGTGATTTTCAAACAATCTTATTTGATATTTGATTCAGTTCTTTTAGGCATCTGAATTAACACGCCTATCGGGGATATGGCAAATAGGCATGCATGTAAAGCTTGTTTTAAAAGCTTTTCGTAGAAATCCGTTTTATAGGTGTATGTTTTTGTATTGTATTCTTTTCACTTATCAAACTTGCGGTCGTTAAGTACATGAGGCAGCGCCTGCGCATCACCAGGTATACACTTTATTATTGACAACGAGAGCTCTCTTTTTCTTATGCATTTTTGCAGAAATATCATCGGGAGGTTTTCTAATGAATCGAAGCAAATGATCACAAAATCCTGGTCTTTGATCCCAGCTTAAATTTCGGCTCATTGTTTGACTCTCACAATTTAAAATTTCAGTTCTTGAAATTTTATTTTGAGTTGAACTGAATCCAGTTATTAATTGTTTTTTGATTCTTGACTGCGCGTGCAAATGGTTCATAATGCAAAAAACCCTTAAACCTTTTGGGCTACTAAAAGAGCCAAGAATTATGTGTTTAAGATTCCAGCTTAATTAATTTGATTTAAGAGTTAAAAAGGCATGACATGCACATATATATGCGAGACTTCATGAAGCGTTTTTATGAGACGAATAAACTTTGTTATCTATTTTTAACTTAGCAATCGGAGAAGGAAGGAAGCTGAGATTTTAGGAGCACACTTCCACGGCATTTGCCACTTCATTTTAAAGCTAGTGCTCACGTAATTTCGCAGTCCTAATAGAAGGCATGCAAATTTTCTGGCTGGAAGCGATTCCGCACAAGGTAAAAGGTTATTCATAAGGGTGGAAAGTTGAATAATATAAAACCCAGGCTGGAAAGCACTAGGCTTC